GCCAAGTTCACCTAAAACCGACCGAACAGCCCCTGACCAGATCCGAACCAGCCTCTGATCAGATCCGAACCAGCCCCTGATCAGATCTGAACCAGCCCCTTAACCGCGGCAGCAAAACAGCAGCAAAAACGATCCTGAACAGCCTTCTTCCTGCGATTGATCCTGTGTAACCGTGTGTTTAACCGAACCAAGGCTCCGATACCACTTGTTAGGAATCAGAGATCAGAGGCGGTCAAGCGGAAGCGAACAAACACACACACACACACAAATAGCAGAAATAAGAACACGAGATTTAACGTGGTTCGGTCAGTAACCTACTCCACGGGTTGCAACTAGGGTTTATCTTTTATTAGGTGCTCTCAGATTATAGTTACATGATTGGGTATTTATAAGATATAAATTAGGGTTAACAACTTGCTAAACAAGAAACAACTAATGGGCCCTTTAATTAATAACTAAAACCGGGCCCCCATATTTCTTCCCTTTAACCGACCGGGCTTAAAGCCCAAAGCTCCAAAGCCTTCACCGAATAACCCAACAATTGTTTGCCAGGAGATGAGGATAAAACTCAGAATGATTCATATTTGTACATTGCAGAGTTGGGATTGGCCTGATGTTGTTACCGGACATTTTATGGATGGTAAGGTCTCCTTGCAATGTGCTGGGAGTGTTTTCCCGAGGCATACAGCCAATTGGCTCGATTCCAGTCAGGTGATTTCTCTTTGTTGCACTTGTTTGAAAGCTTTAATTCTGTTACAAAAATGGATAGGACTTGAGAGATCAGATCAGCAGTTATATATGAAAGCATGTTAGCAATTCATTTGGTGAGTGGTACTTTACTTTTGAACATTTTTCCTATCCTAGCATACAGTTTACTTTTGAACCCAATTATATTGAAGCTACAATAAAACTAAATATACTTTTTTCACTATTCGTGGTCAAAGAGTGTCACTGTTTCACCAAAAAATACAAAGTAGGAAGAGTTTTGTGGGAAAGAGAAAATAGATGTTAAGATTTTTTCAGTGATAATCCATTGCCTTTTTAAGTAATGTTTTCTTGATTTAGTGCAATCTGTTTACAAGATGTTTATATAGCATTTTCCCTTACCCCTCTTGATACCAAGAAAAGAACCTTGCTTCCTATTGAGTCGAGAGGCTTTCGGAAATAGCCGTCATACCTTGGTAGGAGTAGGTCTGGCTAGACTTTACCCTCCCAAGACCCCACATTGTGGGATTTCACTGGTGGTTGTTTTGTGGTTTCTAAAATAAATGTAGTTACCTACCTTATACACAATCAAATTGTATACTATATTTATGTAGGTCAAGACTCTAAATAATATAAAGAACCATTTTGTACACTATTGAAGTTCTCTTATTGTCGCATTGTAATTCAGCAGTAGGTACTTTGCACAATCTACACCCATCCTGATCTTGTTCATTTTGTGAGTCATAAGCATAGTTATGAATGGGGAGTGGTGAGGGGTAGGTAATAGGACCTTAAAGTCGAGTATGTATGTGTGTGTGTGTCTATATATATATATATATATATATATATATATATATATATATATATATAAACAAATATTATGCATTGTATATCTTTTTGGTCTTAAACCAAATAAGATAATAAAAAAAAGAAAACAAATATTTTTTCTCTAAAATAAATTGAACCAAATCACACTGATTATTTAAAACTGAATCAATAATAATAATCATTAATTTGGAATAAAGACTATTTGTATCATTTTCCATATAAATATAGAATATGTTTTTACAAAAATATCCAAAGTGTAGCTAATAAATGGGAGGGTGAAGATTTTCAAAAAAAAGAGTGTTAAATTTGATATCCTCAAGAACAACTTGAAAAGTATAACAACCATGCCTCAATCCTAAACAAATTTGGCAACGTATGAAGCATAACTTCACCAAAAAACTGTGTTTGAGATAAAAGAAAACAAACCCTATATGTAAAAAAATCGAAAAAATTTCTTTCAATCAAAGGTAGAGTACATAAATATGTTATTTCTTATGAGGGGGTTACTAATTATCGAGAAAAGATCAAGCCCATGACTGAGTGGCCTACTCCAACCACCTTGAAGGGTCTGCGAGGGTTCTTAGGCCTCACTGGATGTTATAGAAAGTATGTCTTTGGTTATTGGGTCATTTGTAAACTATTAATAGATTTACTTAAAGAGGATGCTTTTAAATAGAGGATGAAAGATTAGAATTCATTTACAACCTTGAAACAAGCTATGACCAATGACAAGGATCCCAATACTAGCCTCGTTAATAACTTTGATATACGGGCTGTGTTGTTACAAAAGTGGTAACACTTGCTTATATGAGTAAAGTCTTAGCACCTTTTTTTATTTAAAGTCTTAGCACCTAAGCACAGAACAAGATCAATATATGAGAATTATATAATTTATTGAATGCAGTAGAATTATGGAGGCATTATATAAACACTTTGTGGTGAAAACATACCACCATAGCCTCAAGCATCTCTTAGAATAAAAGGTCACCACATCCATTCATCAAAATAGATTAACACAATTATTGGGAATACATTGAAGGAAGCAGAATATTACCTCCATCAATGCTTTTCACCAATTCAATCTTGAATGGTGTAACCATATGATACTGGTACATTTTTGCATATCCAAGCAAGGACCATGATTTAGGATCAACCGTAGGCAAATTGGACCCGTCCATATCTGCTATTAAAGGCTAATACGCAATACAATCCACTCCATTTTAATTAAAAGTGAGCCAATAACCTAAAAGCGAATTCCTTTAGTATTTCTTTAAAAACTCCTTAAATGTAAAAAAGATGAAAAGGGGAAAGGGAGAAAATATTGTAGGGGTGTGTCGCGATAGAAGAATCGGTCAAAACTACTTTAATTCCTCTTTGAGTGTGGCATTGACAAAAGGTGTTAAAGCCATATCCTGGGCCAAAATATGTGCCAGTCATCGATCCTTATGTGGGAACGATTGTCATGAACTAGTAGGAAACTTTGTCCAGATTCAATTTATAGAGCGATTCTCATGAACTATTTTGGTGATTAACATGAGAACCTACATTGGTGACCTTTGACCGTATGTACTCAAGCTACCATGAGCATTGTGATCCGAAGGTCAGTGTGGCTCAATCACATAAAATATCATATATTTTAGCAGCTTTTGGACATTTTGTCTCCTAAAATTATCTTGGTTTGGCTTTCGAGATTATCAAGCCACCTCAAAACAAGATCCATGTGATGCAGAATGTGAAAGTGTCTTCAATGTTATTGCATTGAATTCCTAAAAACGATACCCTTCTCATAGCAGCCTCAACAACGCCCATAGATTAATTTAAAAATAACAGACTAATATGTCATAGCATGCATTAGTAAATCACAAATTGTGAAATATGACCCTAAGTTCACTACATTTTATGCCTCAAACTTGCATTCACTAATGTTGAATGACTAAGAAAGAGAGGACTTGCACTACAAATCATCTTAGGTAGCAAATGTAACAATATATTCAAATGTTACTTTTGTAATTTTCCACTTTATCAGTAATATGTATTGCTAAACAATATAAAACTACCACTCTCTATTCCGTATGTAACCAAATTAATTAAGTTTTAATTTCTCATGAACATATTTGACTCCTTTGGTAACTTATTTATACTTGATATAGAAGATGTTCACGTTCAAATACACATTATGGAGGCTGCTGTTAAGCTTAAAGAATTTGGGTGTAAGGATCTAATAGTTAATCTCTATAAAGGGTATGTGTTTCTATTATTTACAGAAAATGATTCTCTATATTGCTTTAAATGTCGATGAGTGTTGTTATAAAATTGTTTGATAGTCGAAGGCACTACCCATATGTGGGTTGTGGGCAAACATTGAGGAATAAGAAATTGATAAATGAGAAGATTTGATTGGCCTCTAGGTCGTCAGTAGTTTTTACTCAATGTAATAGAAGAGAACAAACAAATAACGAAAGCTTGCACACAAAAAAACTAATGGTTATGATCATGAAGAAGATTTTTTTAGTATGACTTCTACTTATTATTAAAATGTTAATAAGTGGAAGATATATTAAAAAAATCTTCTTTAAACGCATCGTCTCATTTACATATTTCTTAATCTTCAATGGTTGCTCACAGCCCACATATGGGTAGTGCCCACAACTATCAAACAATTTTATTGCAGCACTCATCAACGTTTAAAGCAATACATAGAATTATTTTCTCTAAATAATAGAAAAACTATCTTTATAGAGTTTAACTATTAGAACCAAAAGCCCAAATCCTTTTAGATTAATATCAGCCTCCTTAGTTCATCAAGTATAAATACGTAAGGAAAAGAGGTAAAAGTGTTCATGAGAAAGATAAAAAGTTAATGATAAATTGAATTTGGCTGGATAGATAATAAGAAGTGGTAGTCTTACATTGTATAGCAGTACATATTACTGGTAAAGTAGAAAATCATGAAAGTAGTTTGTATATTTCCTCACATATGTTACCTAATATGATTTGTCATGTAAGCCTCATCTTTCTTACTCATTCAACATTAGTAAATGAAGATGCATTGAACCTAGGATCATAGTTTACAATTTGTGATCCACTAGTGCATGCTATGACGTTTTGGCCTATTTTTTTCTAAACTGCCCTATGAAGGTGGCTGAGGCTGTTATGAAAAAGACCTTATTGAACCAAAGAGGAGATAAGTATGGAGAATTTCCAAAAATTCAGTGCTAATAACATTGAAAAAACATCCACATCCCCCATGGGTCTTGTTCTTGTTTTGATGTTCGACGAAAGGCTTGATAGTTCGGAAACCAGGATAACTTGAGGAGAAAGAATGCCTAAAAGCTTTTAGAATATATAAGAGTTTGTGTGATTGAGTCGCATTGAACCACGAACCACGATACTCATAGTAGCACTAGCACAGATGGTCAAAGGTCACCAATGTAGATTCTAATGCTTTTTGCCTCTCACCTCTAGGTTTACTCCATGTTCTCGTAACATTTTTAACAAAAAGTCCAATCTCAAGAAAACTACTCTATTATATTATGTTGGAACACCCAATTAAGTTAGTTCAAAAGGACCGATGACATGTCTGAAACCCTTTTTTTCAATGCCACCAGGTTTGACTCCGAAATGATCCTAAGTCGCCTCAAGTGCGCAACAATTGTCTTTAAACTTCTTACCAAAAAGCACTATTATTTTTTTCCAATACCTCTTATGTGATCACCAAAAAGCACTATTATTTAACCACGTTCTTGACCAATTTTGCTACCCATTTGAGAAAATAAGTCTTGTCACCTCTCATTTTGTAGAACTTTTGATGTGATTTTTAAATATATAAATTTTATTTTTTAATTCCTTACCAAATTTTAAATCAATTGAATTGAAAATAACTTCAGCCAAACCTTGTAAACAACAATTGGCGACTTTGCTTGCGACACAAAGAGTAAATAAAAATTCTTATTGTATGTTATTGTTAATTTAAAATTTAGATGCATCTTCATTAGGTAGAACTAAAAAATATAAGTAGTTGTATGTTAGAATTTGACAATAGTCTTTATGTTTATTGAATTTAAATTGTTGGAAAAACATAATGAGAAATATAAAAATAAACCATAAGCATACCATCTTGCTACACCAAATTTAAGATAAAGAAGAAGAAGACAAGGCTACACTCTAAAAGACACCAGCACAAAGAAAAATGTAGAAAAATGTTTGTTGCTAAAGATATGCCAAGTACATGTACATGTGCTTCACAATAAAAAAAATAGAGAAAGAGTTCCTGTTACAAGGCTTGCCAGCACACAAACTACCACATATTTTACTGCCTTGTCCAATTCCTCTACAAGTGGATCTTCAAAAAGGTTTGTAATATTAAACCCTAAAACAAAAGATAAAGATAAAATGATACATTTACCCTTTATGAGTTCCACTTTGAGCTATGTCTAATGTTTAAATGGAACAATTCTTGGGTTGACCTTATGAGCATAGTTATTAATGGTGTTCGCCATTCACACTTATGGCGCCTATGGCGCTAAGGCGTGCAGATGCCGCCCAAAAGGACTAGATCGAGGCGTTTTACGAGTGGTGCGCCAAGGCGGTCGCCATATGAAGCGCGGGCTATCTTCGCTCTGCATTTCGTCAACCTTTTAAAAAAATGGGCTAACCTTGACATCACTTCTCGTCAGCATCTTCATTATACATAGTGTTTTTTGTCCTCAACTTCTTTTTACCTTCTTCTATTAGTATTCATTGCGATGGCCGACTCAAAGAAATATCACATTATTGGGCGTTTTCTTAAGCTTAGATTATTCACCAAGTTGTGTCTTCAAAATTAAACCCCCTTAAAATAACATTTAAAAAATCATTTTATTTTATTTTATTTTTTTAAAGGAATTTTATTAATATTATTAATTTTGAATTTTAACCGTATATGTTTCCTTTATATCTTACTTATTTGTTATAATGTTTTGGAGTTTTTCTAGAGTTATGCTTCATACGTTGCCAAATTTGTTTAGGTTTGAGGCGTGGTTCTTATACTTTTCAAATTGTTCTTGAGGATTATGGAACTTGTTCAGTGAGTCTTCCATCGATTCACTCTTGGATATTAGATCAATCTATTTCATTAGTTTGTGTTTGATGATATTGGTAAAACTATGTATTATTGATGATATTGGTGAAGAAAATGTCTTGTGGTGATTGATGGACATGATTATTGTAATAAACTTCTTATAGCGCCAATCATGTCTTTAAACTGGGTTGTAAAAGAGGAGAGTTCAGAAGGAGTTGAGACACCTCAAACAAAATACACTAATATTTTAGAATTATCAACTCTGTATCTTTATATTACCATCAACCCTTATAAGTATAGACAAAGTACAAAAATGAGAACCACAAGAATTCAATTTACATAGAAATATAGTAGTAGAAATCAATTATCTTGGAGGGGAAGGAGGTTGAAACAACTTTCAACGAACATCGAGGACGAGCCATTATTTACATAGTTAGAAACAAAACATATAAATACCTTTGACATGTGAAAAGAAAATAGACAATGACACAGCAGGACTTGTAGCCTTTCCTACCTCTTTCAGAGACTTGCCCACAGTAGTATTGAGTAAATATAAAATATCCAAACGTTCGTTGTTATAAGATATTAAACATTTTGTCACCAGAGGTAAAGACGAGTTCTACGTTTTGAAAACATTAAACAGGAAAGCCAACAATTACATCCAACAATTGCATTTAAATTGAGTGTGTATTTTGTCTCATTCCTTAACCTCCCACGTGCAAAGCATATTGTAGAATAGAAGGCAACACTTGCACCCATATTGAAGCCTCCAATCCCAATTTTGACTGTAAGCAACAAAAAAAGAATAAAGTTAAACTTATCTTTCTCAATAACAAGGTATTGAAATCATAAGTGAGATAAGAAGATGTTGATCGAATTACATGTTGATGGAAATCACTCTTTGTAATACAAGACTAAAGAATAACCATGAAGTTACATTTCATAACTATTATAAAAGTGTCTGAAGCTGAATCACTAGATAGTAAATAAGGGTATTAATTGTTTGTTATTGTTTACAATCTATATGCATATCCATTTGGTGGAATTATATAAAAATAAGTAGTTAGATGTTAGAATTCAACAATAGTCCCTATATTTATTGAATTCAAATTGTTGGAAAAACAACATGAGGAACATAAAAATAAAGCACAAACATACCATCCCAACTACAACAAATTTAAGATAAAAAAAGACAACGCCATACTCTAAATGACACCAGCATAAAGGAAAATGTTTGTTGCTAGAGATATGCTCAGTACCTGTAAATGTGCTTCACAATATAGAAATGGAGAGAGAGCTTACTGTTACAAGGCTCGTCTGCACGCAAATATTTTGCTGCCTTATCCAATTCCTCTACAAGAGCATCTTTAGAAAGGTTTGTAATATCAAAGTCGAAAACAAAAAATAAATGTAAAATGATATATTTACTCTTAATGCGTTCCAAAATGAATAAAATCAGGATGGTTACATATTGGGTAAGGTACCTCATGTTGAATTACAATTCAACAATAAAGAGAACTTTTGATATGATATGATTAGCAATGTACAAAATGGTTCTTTATATTATTAAGAGTCTTGGACTACATAATTATAGCACGCAATTTGATGCCAAGCCTTACAACTATTAGGATTACAGCTGTCGGGATTTGAATGATATACAACAACAACAAAAACAAAGCTATTAGGACTTGAAAGGTATACAACAACAACAACAAAAACAAAGGCTTATCCCACTAGGTGTGGTTGGCTACATGAATCAAATGACGTCATTGCGCCCTATCATATATCATATCTGTTGTGAGATCTTTTACGCGAAGTTCTCCCATGATCACTACTTCCCGTTGGTCGTACCTCTTTCAAATATAGCTAGCCTAATAGCAGTGCGGTAAAAATTTTCTTTTAGTTTTAGAGGTACTTTTTTGTGACATATAAACCCCGAAGTGTTGGGTTATTCGGTGAAGGCTTTAGAGCTTTGGGCTTTAAGCCCGGCCAGCTAAAGGGAAGAAACATGGGGGGCCGGTTTCAGTTATTAATTAAAGGGCCCATTAGTTGTTTCTTGTTTAGCAATTTGTTAACCCTAGTTTATATTTTATAAATACCCAATCATGTAACTATAACCTATGAGCACCTAATAAAAGATAAACCCTAGTTGCAACCCGTGGAGTAGGTTACCGACCGAACCACGTTAAATCTCGTGATCTTATTTTCTGCTATTTGTGTGCGTGTGTGTTTGTTTGCTTCTGCCATTCTTGCTGTGGTGTATGATGGAATGAGTGTGGCGACTCAACTTGGAAGCCTCTTCACCTGGTTTCATGAGAGGCGATTTTCATCTGGTGGTATCAAACCAGAAGGCATAATGATCGACAAGGTAACAACTGAATACCTTAATCAATTTAATTCGGATCTCCTAACTTGTTGCCATTTTACAAGTTACTGTTCAAACTAACTCGCAGAACTTCAACATAAATGTATCTGACTTTGGTTTCCTTCTCATGTCGGGGAGGAGCATAACATAGCTCCCACGTGTTATCCTGTTTTCCTATATGCTCCTGATGAGACTGTATGCAGTGGTGCGCTTCTTAAAATTTTATTGTCTTATTTCCATCACCTCTGATGGAGCCAAAATTTCACCATTTTTTGGCTTTGGGATGTGATGGAATAAATCAAAATGAATCTCTAAACTGTCTGCGCTTCTTTAATTAATGAAGTAGCAGTTAGTCAAACAATGCAACTTTTGACGTTGAGCCGGGGGTCTCTTTGGAAACAGCCTCTCTACTTTTGAGTAGGGGTAAGGTCTGCGTACACACACCCTCCCCAGACCCTACTCTTGTGGGATTTAACTGGGTTGTTGTTGTTGTTATTGTATTTACTTCAATGTTCTGTACTGCTAGTGAACTTTATTCAACCAAGATTACTCCGCCAGCTAAGCTCTAATGCTTTTATGTTGCCAATCCTTTAAGAAAAGCAGCCAATCTGACTTGTAGAAGAGGATTTGTGTGTCTCTGTATTTGTTAGCAACCAATGTCTAGATTACTGACAAACAACTTTTTTTTAAATGAATGGTACATTGCATGGCTTCTGATCCTGTATGTTGCAGGTATTCGGACTTTAAAAGCCGACGTTTACGTATTTGGTGGTCTACTTATGGGGTTCATTGGCAACCACGTCGAAGAGAAAGACATGCCACTCTACGAGTGGGCTCTGGAGCAGCTCCAATCAGGGAAAAGATCGATAGTCAATAAATCACTTCTGTAAGATAATGTGAGAACAATCCAAACCGTTGCGTGATAACAATCCAAGCCGTTGCAGTTATGTTTTAGATTGTTTATATTTATTGATTGTAAAACTCAAAAATCTGAATTGTATTATAAATTCGCAGTACGTTATATTTTGTTTTTTGGGGTGTTCATCTCCCCGCCATTGTAACCATTCATCTCTATAATTTGAAATACATAAAAATTTATATGAGAAAGTCTACGTGGATACCTTAAGGGTCAATACTCCAAAAGATTGTCTCCCAGTGTTGTGAGTTAACATTGTTATATTGTACGGTGAAGCTTTTTTTTAAATAGTTTAGTTTGTGCCAATGACTTCAATTACTAGATTTATTAAATTAATATGATCAAGTAACTTTTTGTTTTACAGGATTTTGAATGAATTTTTTAAGTACATACTAACATTTTAATTTTATAAATATTTAAATTTAAATAAATTAAATTTAAAAAATTTTATTTAAATCTCATGCATTAACTACAACTGAAATTTCCTGTTGATCGCTCAAGTTATACTCCATCCGTCTATATTTTGATTACAAATTTATTTTTCTTTCTACTCGCGATAACTTTTGTTTATTTGTATATTTTTATTGATTTTTTGATAAAATAAAATATTCTTGTCACCTCTTGTTTTTTAGAATTTTAGACGTAATTTTTTAATATGTAACTTTTATTTTTTTTATTGATGTACCAAGATAGTTTTTTATCCGTCTAAAATAGGATCGCTGTTTTTGGGTAATAAAAAAGTCAACATCCAACATTTTTTACGCCTAACCATCTCTTCCAATTGATCTTTCTACTTTTTTTTTAACGCAGTTTAATTTCTTTCTATTTTTTCTTTTTTTTTTAACTTTCAGTTTTTTAACTCTTATTTTCTTCCAACATAAAATAAGAATTTTCTTTTATTTTAATAGAGTAAAAATAAAATGAATTAATTCATTTTATATTTTCCTTTATGCATGGCATAGAATATTCCGTAATTTTGTTTTTCAAAATGGCATTAACTTGTACTAAATTTATTAGTTTCTTAAATTTATTATTATAAATGTTTATAATTGAATTTATTTATTTTTTTATAAAAAATCTATTTACACGCACAATATGTTTTCCTTGAGTGAGATTTTCTTAAGTTAACAATGTCGTGGTACTTTGTATGATTTACTCTTTTGCTTGTTTAGGAACAATCTAAGAACAAATTAGCAATGAAATTAACATTGTCAAAATGTCACATATGTTACTTTTAAAATGCGCATGCTCAGAGCACTGGTAATACATGCAACGCCCCCCGGCGTGATGGGGCGTTTAACGCCCCGGGGGCGTGAAACACCGCCCCCCTCCGGGCGTGATCGGGCGTGAGTTCACCAGCGTCAAAAGTTTGACGCGGCTTGGCTGCGTTTTTTAGCCGGCTCCCCCCTTCCCAACGGCTATGTAGCCGTTACCCCCCCCCCCCCAAATTAAAAACAAAAAATTCTAAATTTAAAAAAAAACTATAAAATCCCCCTCTCTCATACATCTTTCTCACACCTCTCTCTCACAAATCTCTCTTTATTACTATATATTCTCTCAAAAATATTTATTATTTATTATAAATATTTATAAAATATAATTTAAAAATGGGTTCATCTTCCAACGATGAAAGAAGAGCTTTATTTTTTCGTTGTTTCGCGACGAATTGTATTCAATGGTGGGAAGATGGCCAAGAAGAAGCCGAATCCTCCCGACGACGGACCCGACGCCAACGTCTAAACCGGGATCGAGCGGCCGCCCACGATTCACTTCTAAACGACTACTTTAATAATCCGTGTGTTTATACACCGGAGGATTTTAGTAATCGTTTTCGGATGAGTCGTCCTCT